GTACAGAATTTGGGGGTTTAAAATCTCTCTTCCACAACGGGTACCCAAAAACAACTTCTGCATTTACCATGGCAAAATTCTCAACAAAACTGTGAGGAACATAACAGGAAATTACATATTTCTTGAAATTTGAACTTTGGACAGTGATTTCCAAAATACAGCTGTGAAAATTTCAAAGAATGTTTTAATCTTAACTATTCATTAACTTACCATGCCAGTTTAAATTAATCTAAATTTAAAATTAGGTTCCTCAACTTCACTAAGTGCACTGAACATTGATTGAACCATCAGAGACATCCAGCAGCTATTCTGTGGAAAACACAGATCTAGATTATTTACATCATCGCACAAAGTTCTACTGGGTAGCACTGTTAGATTTTCCCAGAGCAGCAAAAGGTTCTGTATTTTTAAGACAGATGAGGTCAGTAATCAGTGTCTACAGAAAAAAAATTGCTCTCATAAAATTTTGATATTTTCCTAGCTTTCTCCCAAAAATGGGGGTGGCATGAATCTAGTATACCGAAAGCTCTAAGAATGAGTAGCTGCTTAGTGAAGCCATTTGGGCAAGGTGCACCAAAGGATAAATCATGCCTGTGGCTCCTAATCTCATAGGAGTCCTCAATTTAGCTCAGATGCACTAAAAGTGCTAGCAAGCCTGGGTCAACAATTCCTATGCAGAGGACACTGAATTCCACATAGAGATGCAGCAAAGAAAGGAACTGTGAGGAGGCGAAAGAGAAGGTCTGAGGACTATAAAGCAGCAGGGCAAGAAAATGGTAACAATGAAATTAGCAGACCCTATTTAAGACAAAAATGGAAGGAAAAGCTCAGCACGAGGAGGCTAGAGCAAGGCAGGGCTGCTTCTAAAAGCTGTGTCTCAGCTTTGATTGTACTTGGCATGTGAGAGAGCAGAGCTTCGTATTATCAGACTATCTGATTTTCTTCCCAAGAAAAGATATTAAATTCTCATCACTGTATAATACTCTCAGAACCTGAGCCTACAATTAATCAGAAACCAGAGTTGTTACTCTTGTTCAGATCTAGGTATCTAGTCTCAACTTGTAAAACAAATTATTCAAAATATCTGAACACAGAAGAGTTTCACTTTGAAAAGTCTATTGACAGTTTCCTTAAAAGTAATATTCTCATATAAAATGTCAGATCCACAAATCAACTTCTTAAAAATTCCAACAGCCCATGATCAGAATCTCAATGTTCAAAGTATTTTCATTCAACTCCTGAACACACTCTACACTCTCATTAGCAACAAGGCTTTTCCTTATTCACTTCAATCTCCCCCCTTCTTCCTTTTCCTCACCATCTCTGTACATATACATATATATGTATATTTGAAGAGATATATTTGCGTGTATATATACAGGTATATATTACACATACATTAAACAAATATATTATACATGCATGACACATACTGTTTACATACCAATAATCAATCCAAATTATTTAAGTACCTCAGCGAGAATTCATTCAGGATAGGAGTAGAGGGATAGTCACTAATGATAGGTGTGTATCTAGATATCTAAGCACAGTGTCGATTATTTTTTAAAACTACAAATAAATTAAGTTGAATAATACCAAAAAATTTGTGGTAATAGACAGTAGATTAGTGTTTCATAACTATGACCACGCATTAGAATCACCTGGAACGCTTTTTAAACTTTCTTTGCCCAGGTAACCCCCACCAAATTCACTGAATAGGAATCTTGGAGAAAGAGACTTAGAGATTTGTATTATTTAAAATGTTACATGTTAGAGGAAATAATGATCACCCAGGGTTGAAAGCCCCTGCAGGATACGATTCAATTATCCATTCACCTGTGACACGTAATTTTGATGATAAATTTAACTAATTACTCACTGATCCCCACCTTGACTCCTTAAGAAGACAATCTCCTCTCCACTAACTGCTTAACTAAATTGAATTTAGAGCCCGGGACACTGATAAACTACCAGGATCCAAAGACAAGTGATTCCATAATTCTAGTCCCTTAGTCAATTCACCTCCCCAGTAGAGTTCATCAAATAGCAGGGGAGTGGGATGTGGTAGGTAGCTCAAAGTTTCAATTTCAGAACATAATTAAAGCCTTCCCCAAAGCTCCCCCAGTTTCTTCAGCAAACTATCTACTTCTGTCCTTATCTGATGCTGACTCAGCTGGTTCCCCACATTCCATAAATACCAATCTACTTTGTCTCTTCTTGGTAGGAGTTGTACATTTCCCTGATGTTGCCCATCAAATCCAAAATGGCTTCCTTGGACTTCACTTGCCCTACAAACTTTCAAACCCTCCACTCTATCTTCAATCTTGAAATCTGCCTTTCTCTCTGCTAAATTATTTAGATCCTAGAAGAGAGGCTTAATTTACACTCATGTTTCCACTAAATGTGTTTCTTTACAGCATACTTTACCTGGATGTCTAAGAGATAGCTCCCATTTTTCCATGAGTCATTAGACTGAGAAAAATTTTTTACACTTGATTTGTAAATCCTGCATCACTTTTCTCAAAAAAATTAGACTTCTCTCTATAACATGTAGTACTATCTATAAAAGAAATTACTTATCTTCAGTTTAGATTTATGGTTGCATTGTGTAGATGGGACTGTCTTTTTTAGAAATATTGAAAAATAAGATGGTAAATTTTAATACAAAGTAACCCAGTGGTCTTCATGACTGCTGAAAGTAGGGCCGAAAAACTGTTCCTGGGTCCAAATCCCAATTTTGCCACTCAGTAACTAGTCACATTTCTATCTTTTTATTTTCCCACTCTGTAAAGAGGGAATGATCCGATCTACCTCACAGAGAGTTATTAAATATCTATACAATTCCAAAACAGTATTTGTACAGAGTAAGCACAATCCATATTAGTAGTTGTTACACTATTTTGAGTGTGCATATTAAAATTTTGTTATAGTGGGAAACAGTCTTTTAAATCTCTTTCACTGAGAAACTGAAATTTATGACAAATTATTTCTCAAATTGAATTCTGACATTTCTGATATTTTCTCATTATTTTCTAAATTCAATAGATGTAAGTATGGAATTTGTCAGAGTATATCTTGACATTTAGTTCCATTAGGAATACCATTTAATATCAGTTAAGCCTCATTATGATTACAATATTATTTAAAATGGAAGTATAGGAGAGGAATATTTGGGGAGGGGAAAAATATCACTTGCCACTTATTAAATTGAGATTTTAAAAGCCAAAGAAGGGAGGATTTATAAGCTGTGGGTGACCTTTAAATGTCACATTCACTAATATATAAATGTAAACACAGAAAAATGTAATGTCTAGTAATAATAATAAACTGATCAATATAATTATATTTCAGTCCTGTGGTATTATGAATTATGCTTTCAGTCCAGAATATCAATAGCTCTTTAACACTTTTTAAGATCCTATTACACTGCATTAAATATCATCTAGTTTCCTCTGTGTTTTGTGTAAGCATGTAGCATACCTCTCTTACTTAGATAGCTGCAGGCACTAAATTACCCACAATTTTTCAGAACAAATTATTTCTAATGAGTGAAAAATAAAAATACTTTAGTATGGTAATCCTTCAAGAATATCTATTCAATAAATTTTCTAGAATACTAGTTAGAAGAATTCTTATTCTTCTACTTTGAGAAGTGAGTGAAATATAACATCAAAGACAATTGGTTAAGTGAACTATGGGCCTCTCCAATACAGTTTTGACAAATAACTTATTCTGTTTAAAGAGCCTTTGGGCCACAGATGTTTGATTTAAGGCTTCGATAAATTAAACTGTGGACGGAGCGCTAGTACAGCGGGTAGGGCATTTTTCCCTTGAACAGGGTGGGGGGGTTTGATCCCCCTGAACCACATATGGTTCCTGAGCACTTCCAGGAGTAATTTTTGAGTGAAGAACCAGGAGTAACCCCTGACCACTGCCGAGTTTGGCCCAAAAACCAAAAACTGTTTTAAATTTAAAAATAAACAGAACGGTACCCTTAAAATCTTCATTTAAAGGTTCCGTTGAAGATACGAAAGGTGACATGGGCCTGTTCGACCTCAATCACTGCAAAGGGACCCCTAAACATCCTTTAAGAGTCCCATCGAAGCACATTCTGGACTCTACCCTGCACACCGCTGGGTGTGCCCCCCACCTCAATAAAGATCCCATTGAAGACATCTTCAAAAGCTACCCAGCCCCCTAGAACCAGCTCCAGTGTTCAAAGAGGACTTCTGAACTACAGCATCCGTCATGCACTTAGAAGCATTCTTTCTGAGCTTCACTTAATTTTCACTTGCCCCTGACTCTGGGAGCTGAAGCGAGGGCCAGGGCACGTGGTCACTGCAACAGTCAGGCAGACCGGGGCGGGGACCCCATAGCACGTCACAGCACGTGGAGCTCGCTCCTTGGATGAGAGGCGTGTAACTGGAAACACTCGCGGAGAAGACAGCGAGTCTTGGGACTGAAACAAACCGCATCCTTCTACCCAAAGTTCCAGCCCAAGTCACTGTGACCACAAACCCCTCCGGGACTTGAAATTCCAAGAGCCCCATCAGCTGTAACTCGCGCGCTTCTGCCACCTTGGCTCATCCACTTGATAACTCCCAGGGGCAGAGCTCACACCTGAGCTGGCAGCACCTTCCCTGCAGGAGTTGCAGTGCAGCTTCTCCTCCAGCTTCAAGGATGCTGCCAGTCTCTAGGAGCTGCTTCAGTAAACCAGTGCCAAGGCGGTGGGCTTGGAGTGGGGCGCGAGCCAGATCATGCGTTTCTACCCGGGCCCCCAATGATTCTCTGGCTGCAGTCCCTCCCACCAACACCACCGGCGCCAGGAGATGAGCCCTTATATTAATAGGGACCAGCCAAACCAGAGGCCAAGCGCAGAGCCCAGAGCAGGAGCTGAGAGCCCCGCCACCCCTGGCGTGGCCAGCCGGTCCTCGGGGCTCCCGCGGGCAGGTGCTTCTCCGGCCTCTCCCGGGCACGCGCGCCCCCCGCGCCGCGCTCACCTTCTCCCGCGCCTTCAGGTACCGCTGCAGCGCCTGCTGCGTGAGCTCGCGGACCCGCAGCTGACCCTCCTTGCAGGGCACCACGATGCCCGTCCTGCCGAAGCACACGGTCACTTTCATCCTGGGACCCCCCGGGCCACCAACGCCGGGCCCGGCCGAACAGGTGTCTGGCGCGCCGTGGGCTCCGTCCCCACCCTCGGGGAAAATCCCGGGCTCTTCGCCTCCACGCCCCCTTGCTCCCTCCCCTCCAAGACCTGGGGACTGGAGAGGGGGCGTTAGCCGCCAGGCCCGGGTAGCCCGGGTCGCGGCCGCGCAGGGGGAGTGGACAGCAGCGGGCAGGGCTCCGTCCCAGGTGGCGGCGACCCGGCTTCCACGGCAGGGGCTCCGGCTCCGGCCCGCCCTCCGAATCGAAACTGCCAGCCGGGGCCTGGCTCGGCCCGCCCTGGCCCTAGCGGTGGCGGCGGCCGGGCCTGCCCCAGTCCCGGGGCTGGAGTGGGCGGCGGCGGCGGCTGCGCGCGGGGCCGGAGTTGGGAGGAAACTTTTGCGCCGGATCCCAACTCCTCCACTGCGCCGCGCGCCCGGCGCCCCGGCCCGCGGGCCGGCCTGGGCCCGGCTCTTAAAGGGGCCGCGGCGCTCCTGGCCCCGCCGCGCGCTCGCCCGCGAGGCCTGGTGAACCCTGCGGGCCCGCAGCTGGAGCCCGGGCACCTGGTCTCCACGCACACACGCTTCCCCTCCAACACATACACACACGCGCGCGCGCGCGCACACACACACACACACACACACACGCACGCACACCCCTCTGGGGAATTGTAACGGGACCTGAGCTACCCAAGAGGAGTTGGAAACCGGATCTCATAAAGCACTCAGGGAATAGATCAGAGTTGCAGCTACACCCTTAAAAAGAGAGGATGGGAACCTGATTCGCAGAGATGCCCAGAAGAGCAGGTGCTCCTCGACACGCCCACCCTTCCCCCACCCCCAATCAAAAAACGCCCCAAGGAGTGATGGCTCACTGGTTCTGAGCTGCAGGGATGACCCAGGGGCCTGTGAGCCAGTGGTCTTAAGCCCAGCATCCTTTCTGCCCTCTGAAGCCTGCCATGGAGACTTGCCAGGTGTGTATTCATCACCAATTGAAATCGCCGTATTTGGAGAATGGGGATTTTTTAACAAATAGCATCTGATTCTCTCTTAGCCCTCACATAAATGAGCTCCTTTAAGCTGAAAACAATCGTGTATGGTAAGTATTTTCCCACTGTGTACATGAAAAATGGTGCGTCTTCTGGATGTTAAGGGACTGGACTGAACTAATTATGGAGTTGGTCATGTGGAAGGGAACTCAGGTTTTCCATCAGTGAATCTCTGGTCTCCCCAAGCAGTTTTCTTAGCAATCGAGTTCATCCAACAAGATCCTCGGGGACATATCATGTCTGTTATTACAAAAGGATTTGTTCCTGTCTCAAAAACCCACTTAAATTGTACTTGAATTGCCTAGGACAATATGATAATGCAAAGGAGATTAAGTTGATGGGTTTATAGACCTTGAAAGTCTTTATTTTTTAACAAATTCAAACATGCAATAAATATGGTGGGGTGTTCTGGTTTTGTATTTTTTGTTTTTGTTTTTTGTTTTGTTTTGGTTTGGTTTGGTTTTGGTTTTTGAGTCATATGCAGTGTTAATCAGGGATTATTCCTCACTTTGTGGTGAAAAATCATATGCTATGCCTAGCATCGATGAGCTGGCAGCATGCGTGGCAAGTGCCTTAGCCTTGTACCATCATTCAAGCCCCATTGTTTGTCTTCTACAAAGATTTGTCTTCTAGATTTTCACAGAAGATCAATGGCATCAAAGCAGATCATGCAGAACAAACTGATGGGGGGGAGGGGATGTGTCTATGAGACAGTATAATTTACATGCAAATCCAATGAAAAGTCATTTGAATAAGCCAAAGACAATTTATTCTATATAAACACTGAAGGTCCAAAGAGCATTCCTTTGAGGCAAGATTGAGTCCAGAAACTCTGATAATGTCCTCAAGCGGTCCCATATACCTTCCATGCTCTTAAATGTTTCTTTCATCTCAGGTAAACTCTCTATGGACTTGCTGAAGAAGTACACTTACAGAACTGCGGGTCTCCATCCCTTAAAGTCTGCCTTCTCAAATGTCAGCAAGCTTTTCTTCTAGTGAGAGCTTGCATACACAAGCTTGAGTCACCTGCCCTCCCATTGCCAAGATAAAATGTAACTGACTGTTCTTGGTTCACCAGCCACTGGGCCATTAAACCATAGCTACTGATATGTGGAGGGGCAAGAGAGGGTGGAAAAACATCCACAGCACATTTAACTACCATAAAAAATAAGATCGTTGCTTAACAACCAGGTGATTTTAGGATGTAGTGAAGAAAAGCCCAAAAGTCATCAAAAATTAGAAAACATTACTGTTCTTTCTATTGAACATCCATAACTTTAAGTGTAGACCAAGCACTTTTTTAAGTAACTACATTTAGACAGTAAGGGTGTAATATATTACATTGTACATACATATGTACAATATGTAATATATTATTATATATCATGTATTGGGCTGGAGCGATAGCACAGCGGATAGGGCGTTTGCCTTGCACATGGCCAACCAGGATTCGATTCCTCCACCCTCTCAAGAGCCCAGCAAGCTTCTGAGAGTATCCCACCCACATGGCAGAGCATGGCAAGCTCCCCATGGTGTATTCGATATGCCAAAAACAGTAACAACAAGTCTCTCAATGGAGACGTTACTGGTGCCCGCTCGAGCAAATCGATAAACAATGGGATTACAGTGCTATATTGTGTATCAATATTTTACATTCCTCCACAGTAGTCTTATGAGATAGTTTTTCTTTTCCTTAGTCTTCTTTTAGAGATTAGGATGCTGAAGCCACATATACCCAAGGAGAGTAGAAACGAAGACCAGAGAAGCTGGTACTTGGTTGGAAGCTTGCCACAAGTGGCAAAGGACAGGGCAATTAGGATAATGAAGAGACCACTATGACAATGATAGTTGGAAATGACTACTCTGGACATGAATTTAGCACTGAAAGTAGGTAAAGGGATATATTTTTTTTCTCATTTTCTGTATTTCAAACCATAATTATCTGAGAGAGAGAGAGAGAGAGAGAGTACTTGCCATAGAGGGAGGCTGGGGAGATTGGGTGGCAGAAGGGATATTGGTGGTAGGAAATGCACACTGATAAAGGGATAGGTGTTGGGACATTATATGACTGAAATCCAATCATAAACAACTTTGTAACTGTGTGCCTCAGAGTGATTCAACAAAAAAATTAAAATTTAAAAAAATACTATTTTTGAAAAAGAAGTTACACTTGAGTAGAGTCCAGAGTCTTTAGAGCAACCATCCTGCTGATCATACATGTATAATACTAGGTGAGTGAATCAAACAAATAAATAAATACTAATCCTCTGCAAGAACAGGCAACCTGCACATTTAATGCTGGATCTTCTGAAATGAACACCTAGAACGGAACAGAGTAATGATAAAGTTTAGCTGATGGAATGAACACCTAGAATGGAACAGAGTAATGATAAAGTTTAGCTGATGAGATAACTTTGCATGTTGTCATTGTTTACATTTCATGCTTATTTATTTCCTTCACACTTATTCCAGACTCCCTCACTTCAGCTCAGATGATAAATAACTACAGCTCTTCTTCACACCACAAACTTCCTTTTCACCACCTCCCTTAAAACCTGTTGCCCCCTCTCAGTATCCTGATATTAAAATTCCCCAGTGAACTATAAATACACTCAAAGCTCTCCATATCCCACTCCCAGTATGACTTCAAGTCTCTAGGGATGCACCCAGTGTTGTGCCCCTGCAAGGTGAAGGCAGAAATGGGGCTAAACACTGAGGTGAACAATGCTTTGTGCAATTCTGCATACCCCGGAGTGAACTTTAATGACCCCAAGAGAGTAATTACATAATGATAGAGTTTAGCTTTTACATTTCATGTGTATTAAATAGCTGGATGTAATTTATTATTCAGCCTCATCACATTATGTGCAGAAACACTTTATCATATATTAAGAAGTTATATTAAAAATCATAGTTACAACACACTGTCATTCATGCCCAGCAAATTCCTGAATCAATATTTCATGATCCCATGGGATGTACTGGGCAGAAGACAATAAGTAATTTGCCTTGATTGAGTAACACTAGAGGATTCTAGGCCTGGGTTCCATTTTCCTATTTTGCCTAGTGGATGAGTAAATATTGCCTGTGGTGTGATATTTTCCCATTTGTTATCCAACAGCTTAGTAGGCTTTGCTGGAGCCAATGAAAATGTGTTATGCATTGAATAATACTGACCAACGTTATTAAACTGCTCTGTCTTGTGCAAAGTATAACTAGAATGTCAGGTACATTTAGATGTATAGTGAATAAAATATGACATTTTTTAAGTAAGTAGTCAACTAGTCATCCATTCTGATATTTTTTACTATTAAAACACAAAATATATTCAGCTTTCAAGGAATTATTATTGCAAGCATTATTTATCACAAAAAAAAATAATTGAATTGGAGATAATCTTCTTTCTACGACCCTTGGAGCAATTAATACAATAGATCACATTCTTAGTCCTCTTATGAAAGCAGGTGTCAGAGCAACATCATGAAAGAAGAAAGAGAAAAAACAATATGACTTCATTTTTTTTCCTTTCCTGTGTAAAAGCAAGGAGGTTAGACAATTTAACTCAGGCAGCACTGGGTTTTTCTTAAAAGCTGTTTGTTTCTATATGCCTTGGAGAATAAGTTTTTTGACCATTTCTTTGTTTACTGTTTCTGTAGTTCTCCTTCAAGCACAAATAATGCGTTATACCCTGAGGGAGTATTGTGGATTATCAGATTTTGAAAGGCCCTGATTTATGCCTATTCTATAATTAAGGCTCAAGTCTCCACAATGATAAAGCTAGATCACACCTCCTTAGATTGAATTCCACTCTATGGATGTTAATGTATTACCTTAATCTGCATTTCCTTGAAAAGAGAAAACCCTGAAAAATCTTTTTTATAAAAATGCCTTTTAAAGACTAGAGGTAGTAAAGCCAGAGGTAGATGGGTAGGATGCTTGTCTTGCATCACTATCACCAAGCTAGGTATGTGGGAGACACACA